GGCTCATGGGCAGGGACAGCAAGGATCCTTCCACCCAGAGTGAGCAGAGAGCCACGGGAGCTGGGACAAGTCCACTGTGTGGGAGGATGGTTGGGTATCTGCACTGCTGGCTTGGATGGAGGTGGCTTGGGCTGGGAAGCCAGCCACAGGTTTAACCAAACAGGAAGAGATTCCTGCTGCAAATGAGATGCTTTGTGCAGCCTTCTCAAAACCCCAGTGCTGCAGGGACACCCCCACTGCAAAACATGGATCCTGCAGGATGAGTGGAAACCTCATGCACCTGCAGTTCTTCAAGGAATGGGGCACAGGATGGGATGATGTTGCTCCTCCTCTCCCTGTTCTGCTGGATTCAGGTTCTCTGCATATCTTTCAGGCTGCCCAAAGCCCCTTTTTTCCCCCTGAACAAGCAGCCTGATATGTCCGATTTCCCAGACATCCCAGTATCCACATGCTTTGCAGGGGCCCAACACAGACATGGGCAACTTGGAGCCCAAGAGGCAGCTCATTTTCACATGGATCCTCCCCCCAGAGAGCCATCTTGGCCACCTGGGCCACCTCCTGTGCAGGTTTGTAGTCCTGGGCGCCACCCATGGGTTCCCTGATGACCTGCTTGGCCAGAACTCACCTCCTGGGTGCCCATGTCTGTTTTCACCCAGCCAGGGTGCAGTGCCACGCACAGGATCCCAGCTTCCTTGTAGGTCAGAGCCTGGCACATGGTCAGCATGTTGAGGGCAGCCTGGGTGAGGAAGCAAGCATCATCCCGGGGTAGCAAAAAGCTCCATGAACCGGGTTCCCTTCCCATCACTGCCTCTTGGTGAGGGAGAAAAAGCAATGCCAGGTCTTCAAGAGACAGTGTGTGTTTCCCCTGGGTGGGCATGGAGATGCCCTGGGAACTTGGGGACTCCCTCCGTCTCTCCATCCCAGGTGTTTCCCTGAGATCCAGCCTGGCAAGGGCAGCTCTGACTCCGTGGAGCTCAGGAGCCAGGGCAGGTCACAACTCTCCATACCTTGCTGCAGCGGTAGGAGATGACAGGGTGGAAGAAGGAATCAGGTGTTTTCTTGATGGACCCTAAGATGGTGGAGATGTTGATGATGGCTGCCTTGCTGCAACTCAGGCCCTTTTCTTTGCTGTCCTGGGCAGCCTTCTTCAGCAGAGGCAGGAAGGCCTGGGGAGAAACAACCTAGTGGGACACCTGTGCCTCAAGCCAGTCCCACTTACAGCAACTGCAACCCAGGGAGGGTGAGGAAGAACAGCAGCATGTCAGGAGAGCCCAGGTGGCCCTGCCTGCTCCCAACTAGACTTGCACCATTCAGAGAGGATGCAGAAGGCTTAGGCTTGAAGAGCAGCCCTAGCACTCCCTTGCACAGCCCCCAGAAATTTGGCAAAGCCCTCTAAGATTTCCCTCGTGACCATGGACAGCCTGTGACACCCTCAAGTTGGGCCAGATTTCATCCCCAGAGCTTCACCCGTACCTGGGCCATCAGCATTGGCCCCACTGCATTGGTCTTGTAGGTCCTGACCATGTCCTCAGCATCGACCGTGTCCAGCGAGGCCGTGGGGGTGTAGATGCCGGCGTTGTTTATCAGCAGGTTCAGCCCCATCCCGTTCAGCTTCCCCTCCACCACCTTCGCCGCATCGGTGACAGCCGAGGGGTTTTCCACATCTGCAGAGCGAGAGAACAGGCTGAGAGGGAGAGGAGAAGAGGGAAGGGAGGACGGCGAGGAAATGCGCGCGTTCTGAGCCGCGCGGCCCTTCCATCCACGGGCAGCAGATGGTGCTGCGAAACCAGCTCCGACTCATCCCGATCCTCCCAACACCGCCGCCAGCTGAGGGCTCCCGCCAGCAAAGCCCACCGTGGGGACAAACCGCTGCTGTGACTCCCGTGCTGCGTCGGCTCTCAGCAGCCACCGCTCCAAAGTCTACGTCTGAGCAATTTCTGGAGACCCCAGGGCAGCCTCCGGAGGGAAAAGTCCCCAGGGGAAATGCGCTGGGACCTGCTGTGGGACGGCTCTGCAAAGTCCTTTGCTCCCGCTCAAGCTCTGGGCTAATCTTACAGCATTTCCACAGGACTGCCTTCCTCCCAGAGCCCTCCCGGTCTTGCCTAAGACTTGGGGTCAAGGCACTCAGCTGGGGGAGCCAGGGGGCTGCCCAGGATGGGTGTCAAGAACATCCTGCTCCTGTGGCCATGGAGCAAGGAGGCTCCAGGGAATGGGGAATTGAGGCTGAGACAGGTCTGGAGAAGCTGGGGTTTTGGCAGCAGGACTTGAAGAAGCCCTGACGAAGTGGATCCCTATGTACAGCCTGAAGGGAGGGAGGGAAGGAAGGAGAAATGGGGCATGCATAGCTGGCAGCCACAAATTTACCAGCTCAGAAGCAGAGCACACATACCCAGCTTTACAAGAACCAGGTTTGGGTGTTTGGATGCCAGATCTCTCAGCTCCTACAAAAAGAGACATGGAAAGAATCAGCATGAGGCAAAGGTGATGCCAAGCATCATGCTGGGGTGCCAGCAATGGCCCACCCTGAGGGAAACATCTTCCACGTGTTACTCAGTGCTTGTGAACAGCTGGAATGGGGACTGGCCTTGGCTCTCAGGCTGCTCCCAGGCTCCACAAAGCAATGTGCCATGTGCTCAGGGCATGACATGGCCACCACTGCAAGATGCTGTGGTCACTTTCTCAAAGGGTCATCCACAGCCCAGCCAGAGCCACAGCAAATGATGGGAGCAAAGTGTGAAGGACCAGTTTACCAGGGAAATGTTGTGAACTGGCTGGGGACACAACCAGAAGTGTCTCCCAGAGGCTGCTGGAAATTAGGTGAAAAGGAATACCTGTGAGTGCCAATATCAATGTGACCTGTGAGGAAATCACATCTGGATAGGCCAGTCCAAAATCCACACACTCTGGACTTTATTAATGATTAGTGAATTTAACAACTTTGCACATTTTTATTGGTTGTTTTCACTTCCTGGGGATATTGGGCAAAGTGGGTGAAAAGCTGGAGTCTCGGGAGGAGGACCGTAAATCATTCAAGTGACTTTACAGCTGGGAATAACACTTGATAAACCATGTAAATTGCAGCCAGTGATCCCCTAGCATGGATCTTAATAGTACTTGTGTCTCCTCTATCTCTGTACCTCCCTGTACCTTTGCCTGGTGTTGCGTCAGGGATCCCCTGGTTATCAAGATAACAGAAATAAATTTCCTCTTTGTGTTTTAGCCATCAATTGTTCTGCCTGCCTGTGCCAACTCACACAGTGGAGGATTCAGAGGTTCTTTTCAGCAAGGAAACTTTCTGCTTTACAGTTCCTAGCAGCTCTTTGCTCTGAGTCTCCAACTAGGGCAGGTTTCAGAGAGCAGAAACTAAACCACCTTGTTTAATGTGCCCAAAAGGACTGCTTTTACAACTAAAAACCTCCTCCAAACATGCCCACGAGAGAAATACAAATTGGTGGTTTCTTTTGAGAGGAACATAGAGCAGGAGAGCTGCTGGGACTGGCCGTGGTTCAATATCAGTTATCTTTGGGCTCCCTCAACAGACCCCATCTTCCCACATTAGCCCTGGGAAATCATGTTAAATCCATTAATTTGTTTGTGGTGGCCAACACCTATTTCTCCTCTTCTGTTTTTCCCAACTGCCTGCCTCAACAGCCTCATACCATCCCAGCAGGAGCTTCCCCCACCCCAACACCGGTTCCAGGCACAAAAGGGCAGAAGTGATGTGGCCTCTGGAGCCTTTGTCCTGTGGTCACGGACTCCAGCAGCACCCTGATGACACTGCTCTCACCCTACCACAGCTGGACAAGGCTTAGGGAAGTATCCCCTGGCTAGGAGAGTTGCATGAGGACAACCTTGTAGGAAACCTGGCTCCAGACCAGCCCTGAAAAAAGTCCCTGATCTCATCGCTGCCCTGCAAGAATCCTGCAAGTTGTGGGGAGGAAGAATGAGGCAAAAATAAAAGACCTGGCCTGTCTTTGACCCAGACAGCTTGGGCACCAGCCACAGCAGGAGCTGGGCTCCCCCAGGCTGGCAGTAGGGTGGGTTCTCACTGCCCCAGGACTGCTTCTGACATGGAATAATCCACATTTGCAAGCAGATGCAACAAACAAATCAGCTGGAGCCAGGATCCATCAGAAAGCAAGTTTCTCCTTATTAGTATTTCAGTGGGACACAGCAAGCAGAGGAAGACAAGCTGGATGTAAAGAGAGCTGGCAGAACAGGGAAGCTTTGTGATTCCCTCCACAAGCAACATGTGTGAGTCTCTCCCATTTCAGCTAAGTTGAAAGCAGGGACAGCGGGATTCCACAGGCCACCCCTTTTGGAAACCCCATGTTCTGCACCTCGGGATTTTGCAGAGAGCAGCGTGACACAGCAGGACCGGCCCGAGCAGCACGGCTGTCGCTCGCAGCGCCTCGGGCCCTCAGGCCAGCCCAGCCCGGCCCGTGCCCGGGGGAAAGGGCCAAGCCTTGGCACGGCAGGGCGGGTTCGGGCACACCCAGCACACCCAGCACGGGGCAGCCCAGCGGCGCGGCCTCAAGGGTGACACAGCCGATTCTGCGCCGGCTGCACTTCAGGTGACTTTTACACGGGGCAGGGCACGGTGCGGAGACAGCAGAGCCCCGCGGCAGCAGTGAGCCCTTCAGGCCGGCGACAGGGGCCGAGAGTCACCGCCGCCCCCCGGCCCGCACTGACCTGTGCCCGCGGCCCGTCGGGGTCCCGGCAGGTGGCGAAGATCCAGGCGGGGGGTCGTGGCGAGCCCAGCAGCTGCTTCACCAGCTCCAGGCCGATGCCACGGTTGGAGCCGGTCAGCAGCACCGTGCGCGCCGCCGCCATCGCCGCCCGCGGCCCGGCCCGCCTGGCGCCGCCTCCCGAGCCCGCGGGCCGCACCGGGCTGCCCCGACCCCGGGGGACAGCCTGAGGGGGCGGGATTGTGTCCGTCTGTCTGTGTGTGTCTGTGTGTCCGTGTGCCTGCCCACCTAATGTTCACTGCAAACACAACAAGCGCGTCCCAGCCCTGGCGTCCCGAGGGGAGGAGCGCGGGGTCTCGCAGCGAACCGGGACGGCTGAGGGTTCTCTTGCCGAGGGTGGTGAGTGAGGGAGAAAGCTTGCAGCAGGTCTGGGTGGCGTCTGCGGCACCTTTAGCACACTAATCTTCCCCTGATAAGTAGATAAGAGTAAAAAAAAAAAAAAAAAAAAAAAGCCAACCCTAACTAAACCCGTTTAGCGTGAGAAAGTACCAGCCTCTTTACGAGCTGTTTTTATTGCCTGCCCAGAAATGCGCATGATATGCCTCTAAATCTGATAAACAAATAGATCCACGAAGGTGCTCTGAGGCTGTAGCGCTCCTCCTGCGGAGATCGGCTGAGGGAGTCGGGGTTATTCAGCCTGCAGATGAGAAGGTTCTGTGGAGCCTTTAGGGCTCCTTTCAGCGCCTCAGGGCACTCAAAGAGAGCTGGAGGAGGACTTTGGACAAGGGGGAATGGCTTCAAACCCACAGAGGGCGGTGTTAGATTGAGTGTTTGGAAGAAATTCTTCCCTGTGAGAGTGGTGAGGCCCTTCCACAGGTTGCCCAGAGAAGCTGTGGCTGCCCCATCCCTGGAAGTGTTCAAGGCCAGGTTGGACAGGGCTTGGAGCAGCCTGAAGGTGTCCTGCTCATCGCAGAGGGGTTGAATAAAATGGTCTTTATGGTTCCTTACCACCCAAATGATTCTGTGATTTGGGCAGTTTGGGCTTGCAGGTGATTTGAGGGATGTTTCCTCCTTTTTGTTGCTGAGTATCAGGTGCCTGGTAGAACAGCTGTAGAGTAAAGAGGAAAAGGTTTGCTGGCATCTAGGGATGGGAAAACAGGGCTGGAGGGAAAAGGGAGAACAGAAAAGAGATAATCAGCATCAGCTGGAGGACAGTGTCTGGAGGGGGTCTGCATTTGCCAGCCTGGAGGTGGGTGTTATTGTTTTATTTTTAGCTGTTATATGGACAGCCACATACCCATTAAAAACCCATTACGGTGAGCACACAACTGAGATTTCAACAGTGAAGTAATGACTGAGCAACTCTGATGTATATAAGGGTTGTTATTTATGTTGCTTATTTTCATCCTTGTTTGACAAAGACCACACAAAACGTCTCTGATACTGATAAATACATCAGAAACTAAATATTTCTATCAGTCGGGTGATAGCATCAGGTGATTTGTGCTAACTCTATCCTGCTCCATGGTGGTTCAAGTACATGAGAGCCTCTGCTCCCCAGTTTACTTCAGGACATTAAAATGCTTTTAGACTTTTCTTTTACAGAAGTTGGAATTTAATAAAAATAATTTTTTTATTATGCTACTAAATATTAAGAAAAAAGCCCCTTCCTTTTAGCAGATATTTGGGCTAAGGGTCCCATTCTCCTTTTCCTGCCTCCTCCTGTGCTTAGGCCATTAATTCAGTGACTTCTCAGCAGAAATGCTGCTCTGTCTATGGCAAAGTTTAGCAAATAATGACCAAGGGGTAACAACACTCAATCACAGCCAGGGTTTGGCCACCTGTTCTACACAGATCCTGCATGCTGCAGGCGTTACATTTATAGCTCTTCCTGAAAATTGCTTGTTTGAAAAAGCCTCGGAGACAGGGATCTGCTGTGCAGAAACAGTTAAAGTGCAGCCACAGCTGAGGGCAGGGGAGCCTGTTCTGAATGCTGATGTGAACCGTGAAAGAAAGGCAGCTCCAAGTAGCATTAAGTGAGTACTCTCCAGGTGGGTGTGGGCTTTGCTTGACCTGCTTCTGCTCCCCATGAATGAAATAGAGGATTATCCATTCTTTGAAAACCTCAATAGTTAAGTGTTGGGAGACTTCCAGCAGGTAATGATGAAAACTGCAACCAAAAAAAAACCACCAACAGATAATAATAAAGCATAAAAGCCCCAAGGCTTATCCAAGTACTCTAATTTCACTACAACAGGCATTGCAAAACTCTGTGCTGCTTGGTAAAGTCTGATATTAGTGAAGTTTGGAGCGTTTGAGGGTGTAAATCACAGAATCTTAGAATGTTTTGGGTTGAATGGAACCTTAAAGATCACCTAGTTCCATCCCCTCTGCCATGGGCAGGGACATTTTCCACTAGACCTCCCTAAGAATACAAAGTATTTGAGTTCACTTAGCTAAAAATCAAAACGAGTAATTCCTGTTATCAGCTCATTGATGTTGTAATTTAGTTGAAGTTTCTGCACTGTAAAGAACATGTGGGCACATGTCCTTTGCACTGAGCTGATGGATTCATCCTAAGTTTTGCTTTAAGTCACTGGATTTTTAAAAAGTGCAACTAGAGGAAGAGGGGAAAATATCTTAATTAAAGAAAAAATGGTAAGTGGGTTTTTCTCCCCCTTCCTTTTTATAAATATGGTTTGAAACCAGAATGAACAACTATGGTAAGTTTAAGTTTCTGCTGATAAAATACCAATGCAGCCCATTTTACTCTAGCAGTGTCCACAGCTACTTACAGAACAATATGATTTTTTGCTGTTCACAGACTGTATTTTTTCTGCTCAGCTGTGTGGGCAATGGGTCACATCATTTAGGCTGGCATAGCATTTTTGGAGTAGCATGGTGCTCAGCTTTTAACTTCTTTACAGGGAGTAAATTTTCCATAGTCCTTTAAATGCTTTTTAATTTAAAGATTATACTCACTCTTCCCTGCTTAAATATCTTTCCTTAATAAGACTTAATGATTCTTTTCAACTGGATTCCTAAATTAATATCTGCATTACCATGTATCTATTCCTAAACTTTACTGTAGCTCCTTTTCTCACTTCAGTACTTGGATGTCAAACCAATGTAGTCACAAGCTGATCATTTAGCCTGTGCCTCAGTGTTCCTGAGAGGGAGCATATCTGCCACGTGTGACAGCCCATCCTCAGCCATCCCTGTTAGCAAATCTGATAGTGGGAAAGAAAATTCGCCTTGTTTGGTGGTTCTGAGGTCCCTCTTCATGGCACTGTGCTGAAGCATGAAGGATAACTCAGCCACCTATCCTTAGAGGATGGGAGAAATGGTCAGTGAGAAGCTGTGCTGTCCCCATGGGTCCTGGAAAAGCAATTCTGTCCCTGTGCTGCCAGCCCTGCTGCACCCAGGTAGCTGAGGCATCTTGGCTGCTGTCACAAGGGGAATATCCCCAAAAAGTGTTTCTGAACCCGGTGTGAGGCCCCAGGCTGGCACAAGGTCAAAACACCGTGGCCCAAGGGAGGTTGCATGGACAGTGTGTTTTAAATCCTCAGTCACAGAATCACAGAATAGTTTGGGTTGCATGGAACCTTAAAGACCATCTTGTTCCATCCTTTGCCATGGGCAGGGACACCTTCCACTAGACCAGGTTGTTCAGAGCCCCCCCCAGCCTGGCCTTGAACATTCCAGGGATGGGACAGCCAGAGTTTCTCTGTGTAATCTCTGCCAGGGCCTTCCCACCCTCACAGGGAAGAATTTCTTCCAAATACCCAATCTAACCCTGCCCTCTTGTCAGTGGGAGGCCATTCCCTTTGTTCCATCCCTCCATGCCCTTGTCCAAAATCCCTCTCCATCTCTGATACCATGCAGGTGTAACCTGGATGAGTCTGCTTGGAAAACAGCAAAGCTATGACAAAGGTGTCATGGGAACTTCACTTGGGAGCTGCAGGTAAGCTCCCCCAGACCCTGCATCATTTCACAATGGGGTGTCACTACTCATAGAATCATATCATGGAATCACAGAATGGTTTTTTTGGAAGAGACCTTACACATTACATAGTTCCAACCCTCCTGCCATGGGTTTCCAACTACCCCGAGATCACTAATCCTCTTCAGCCCAGAAGAAAATTAATCAGGAAGGGTGGGTACTGCCCAGCTTCAGTTACAGTGCAGGGTTGGTCTCACCCCACCTCTGCGTGGGTGGCTCACTTATCACTATCTATTGATTCTTTAGCAAATGACTAATAGGTGATGACAGACCTGAATGCATTGTGGAGCAATGGAGAAAAAAAAATGGACAAAATCAGCCTGATAAATAGCAGCGACTTTATTTCTTATTTATAGTAGATTAAATGTACTAAAACTAATTGTGCCACACCCCTGTTCACCTGGCAGGCAGAGAAAAGCATGTTCCTCCATGTTTCTGTCAGCAGCACTGTCATTGTGCAATCACCTCAGTGACTGAGAGCACGCTTGAACCTCCAGCAACTGAGAGTGGAAAAGGTGTGACTGCCTCTTGGAAAACTGGCTCCAAGTATTCCCAGTGCGGGGATATGAAAACAATCCATGGGTAAATTTGCAGCAACCTGGGTCTCGTGGGAGAAGAGCTATAGTGCCCCTGAGCTTGGTGTTTGTGAGGCTGCACCTTGAATCCTGTGTTCAGTTTTGGGCCACTCACAGCAAGAAAGACATTGAGGTGCTGGAGTGTGTCCAGGGAAGAGCAGTGGAGCTGGGGAAGGTCTGTAGCACGAATATGATGAGCTGATGGGGAGCTGGGAGGGCTCAGCCTGGAGAAAAGGAGACTCAGGATCAGGACTGTTATCACTCCACAACTCCCTGACAATGAGGGTGGAGCCAGGTGAGGTCAGGCTCTGCTCCTAAGTAACAAGTTACAGGATGAGAGGAAACGGCCTCAAGTTGTGCCAAGGGACGTTTCAATGGGATATTAGGAAAAAATTTTTCACAGAAAGGACTTTCAAGCACTGGTACACAGGCTGCCCAGGAAAGTGGTAGTGTCACCATCCCAGAAGTGTTTAAAAAATGCATGGTTGTGGCATTTGGGGACGTGGTTTAGTGGTGGAATTGGCATTGTTAGTCTAATTGTTGAAATCAGTGATCTTAGAGGCCTTTTCCAACCTAAATGATTCCATAATTCTGAGGACTTTACTGCTTAGCTTAAGATTTAGACCATGCAAGAACATTTCAGAGCAAAGGAAGCACCTGAATCCCCTCTTAGGAGCTGGACCAAGATCCTTTCCAGAGGCTTGGGGACAGCAGCAGCCCTTGTGATGAGACTGGGCTGCAAGGCAGTGAGATTGATTTCTTTCCCCTCTGCCTCTTCCTGCCAGGCTGGACTTAGATTCCTGGTGAAACAGTGCTTGTTTAAACTGTAATAATCAATAATGCGGCGTGTGGCCCCAGAGCAAAGTCAACATGACAAAGTTACAGCTCCAAAACAGTGAAAGGCTACTCAAGTGAGGTGACACAGCAAAAATTCGAGACTTAAAATGTTAATTGTTTGTTTTCTGACGCTATCTGCTTCTGAGTCACTGTGGAGGTTTCAAACAGGCTTTGGGTGATGGCCTTATCCACCACCTAGAGGAAGAAAATCATGGAAGTCTGTTTGGAGGATTTGTGTTCTGGTGCATCTGTTGGCAAGTGTAGTTGAGGTCTGTAGTCATTGAAAAGGAAATACTGAAATGATCTATGGAGCCTGAATGCCAGTCCAGCCATGTGGGAGATCCTCAGTGAGGGATCAGTCTGAGATACTGAAAGGCCCAAAGCTTTGTAGTGCTGGTAAATGTTAGGAATTCACAAGGGAAAAGAAGTGTCTCAACCCAATATGGAAAATTCAAAAAGTAGACAGAGATCTAATTAACCACGGAAACAAAATGGGAAAAAATTAATTGTATGGATCTTAAGAAGAAGCTCAGAAAACAGGCGGTAGTGGGCAGGAGGAAATCAGCTGCTGCCAGAGCATGGAGACACCCTTGGCATTGGCACTGGAAGGAAGCTGTTCTGTTAATCCTGCTGCCAAGATATTCTGGGGCACAAGATGTCATGTGAGCAGCCTGTGCAAGGCCTCTGGGACTCAGTGTAGGAGGACAACGGGTGGCAAGAGGTTTCTGGGAGTGGGTCTTCACTTACAGTGGGACAGGAACACATGGTGTACACACACACTTGATCCAGCCTGGCGATCTTGTAATGCATCACTTGAGGGACTGACCAGCACTGGGCTCCACTGGTGGTAGCACAGAGCAGTCAGTGCCTCATGGCAATAGCTGAGGTGGAGAATAGGCTTTGAGCAGGGCATTTCCATTGCAGATAATGTCCCAGGTGCCTGAGTCCTCTGTGGCTCTGATCAAAGGGACAGCTCAGCTTAGGACAGCACCCCAAGGGATGGGGCGCGTGACCTGCAGCATGGTGCTGTGCCATGTCCCCACCTTTCTGCCAGGACACCACGCTGGGTTTGCTCTCCCACTCCACAGGTCTTTGGCTCCACAATGAGGGAGAGGTTATTGTCTTGGAAGAAGCAGGAGCAAGGCAGAGAACATTTGCTCAGGGTCACCTGAGGCGCAGCTTGGTACAATGTGCGAAGACCATCAAGCCCACAGGATGCTCGTGAAAGTGTCAAGCCCACCTGAACCATGGAGCTTCCCACATCAACCCACATGCTGCTCTCTCCCTCCTCACCCACAACAGCCCGACGTGGCTTATGGCATCAAGTTACCCTGAAAGGAATGCCTAATTTTCCTGGAAAAACCAAGTGATTTTGCTGTTAGGTGACAAGGATTGGTCCCCAGCCAGGACATATGTCCTGGAGCTCAAAGAGATGGAACAGTTGCTCCTCCCAGAGTTAAGCCACCATTAGAGCGAGCTGTGAGTGGGTGGGGTGAGACATGCTAAAAGGAAATACTAGAGAGCTGAGTAAACAGTGTAAGTTGGAGGGAAGAGAGAAGCAGCATGGCAGAGCTTTGTGTCAGCTCTGTTCTGGTGACTGGGGCCAACCGGGGACTCGGTCTGGGGTTTGTCCAGCATTTCCTGAGGATGCCAAAACCACCTCAGTGGATCTTTGCGACCTGTCGGGACCCCAAGGGACAGCGAGCACAGGTGAGGCTGGGCAGGAGGCATGGGCTGTGCTGAGGGATGGGGACACTCAGTGCCAGGAAGAGATGGGAACAGGGATGGTGCTTGCAAGGGGCTGGAGCTTCAGCAGGGCATGTGTGGCGCAGGGCAGCTGGGCTGAGACAACATAGGAGCAGCTTTGCATGGAGGGGACAGGGATACGTGATGTGTGCAGGAGCTGTGGGGTGTTCCCCCTGTATCAGGATCAGGGCAGCTGGAGCAGGGTGCTGGGCACTTGGTGGTGCAAGGATGGAGCTGGAGGGACACGGGCTTTGGCTGGCTTAGCAGGGTGAGCTTTGGCAATGCTGTTCCAGCCTCTTGGTACCAATGTCATGACCCCTCTTGCAGGACCTACAGAATTTGGCATCCAAACATCCCAACCTGGTCATCATCGCTCTTGGTAGGTTCCCTCTTGCCCCAATTCCTCTGGTGAATGCTTGGGCACACATTACAGCCCTGGGAGCTTCACACAGGAGGCAGTCTTGGGGGGGCACTTCCTTTGGGGGACACAGGGGACCCCAAA